CTTTTTCTAAGCAAACAAATTCTACATTTTGGTCCATTCATCATCTCAATTCCTGATAAGATCGATTTTGAACGTTTTCTTTGTTATCTCATCATCATGAAAATTCTAAGCTTTTTAATCATGTGCAGTCTGATCTGTAGTTAAATTTTCTTTAATACGACATGAAAAATAAGAAGATGGATTACGACAGTGACAATGTTGAATATATGCGTGTCGAAGTATGATATGATCATGTTTATTATAGAAGAATAAAGAAGTATTTAACTCCATAAATTTGGAGGATTGATGAGCTTCAAATATTCCTCTTTTCTCATGAAAAAGAGATGGAGTGACGTTACCTGTAATATTAGACTTTTTCGATAATATCAACCGTATATATTTTAAGGTGTTATGGCTATTGATATGGGTCTGAATTAGAAAATTAGACTGGGATATATAGTTAGATAATGACAAATGATTAGGCCTCTTGTTTCTGAGCAAAGAAGCCAAAAAAAAAAAATTAAGAAAAAAAATGCATAGTAAATATCACGGAGACAAGCGTCAAAAAGCGACGGCGAGTGAAAGAGCCGTCGACACAAGCAAGCTTCTCAGCGTCGATAGTGAAGTAAGAAGAAAAAGAAGTTAAAATGGACAATTGGGGGTGCTAATCACCAATGAATTCCATTTTCAAATTAAATTATAACAATTGGGTTCTTTTGTTTAACACGGGAAAGGAAAAGAAAAAGAAAAATAAGAAAAGAGGACTTATAACAAATTATACAGCTGTAGATTCATAACCCTTGTTGCGTTGACTATCTTGTTGACCAACGCTTTGTCTGGTTGCAGTTTTAAAGCTCAAATGCCGACCTTGTGAGCCTGCTTGGGTTCGTATATGGTTCGCTCGCCGGTTTCTATTTAATCTTCGCCGCCACTGTTGAATTGGTTGGCACGTGACTCCTTAAATTTGCTATTAATTGTCACACTCATCCTTATTGTTAGGCGTCCTTTGATGATGTTTCAAAAATAATTAGGGATTAGCACTGAATTAGTAAATATTTAGGTCCAGTGGCAGAACTAGATGCTAGCTAATGGTATCACAGGTGACCAAATTATACCGCTGAATTGCTTATTTTATAGACATTTTTACTAAACTTTTATTTGTATTTACTACTTAGGACATCATTAGAGTTAGGATAGAACACCACTAGGGAGGATAATTTTGAAGACCGCCTAATTCTATGAAACAGAGCAATAAGTTGCATATCGCTTCTTGATATATTATATTTGCTTGGTAAGAGAGGAGTAAGAGATTGTTTATCTTTGATCCACCTATGAATTCTTTACAAGTAACTTGATTATAATGCTCCACATTCTCAAGCTTTGGAAGACTCAAAATCTTATATTTTCTTTGGGTGTTGCTACAATGACCCAAATAGGGGACCTAAAGCATGGGATAGGTGAGGTGTCACCATCCGGTTGCATGATGCACTGTTCATAAATAGTACATCATGCAACCGGATGGTGACACCTCACATGTCCCATGTCTTGGGTCCCCTATTTGGGTCCGTGAGGCATTAATGATTTTCTTTTTGTATGCACTGTTTCTCTTGTGGGTTAGTTCTAGGCTTGATTCTTCTAGCTACCATATTTTGTGCTTTATTTATATTTTAATTTAAGGAGGCTTGTCTCAGCCTAGGGATGGCAAATGGATGGTTTTGGTTGGGTTTTGGTTGGGTCATAAATGGGTGGGCACATTTATGACCACTTAACCATTTATGACCCATTTAGCACTTGCTAAATGGGTTGGTTTTCATCCACCTATTTACTAAATGGGTGGTTCATGGGTAACCCAATAACCCATTTAGTTATGATTATGATGCTTCTATATATATGTAAGTTTCAGGGATCTACTTGCAAACTTTCAGGGGTTTTTGGTAAACTTTCAAGGGGGTTTTCTGCAAACTTTTAGGGGGGTTTCTGTAAACTTTTAGGGGTTTTTTTGTAAACTTTCAGGGGGTTTTCCGCAAACTTTTAGGGGGTTTTTTGCAAACTTTCAGAGGGTTTCCTGCAAACTTTCAGGGGGGGTTTTGCAAACTTTCAGGGGGTTTTCTGCAAACTTTCAGGGGGTTTTCTGCAAACTAGCAAACTTTTAGGTGGTTTTCTGCAAACTTTCAGGGGGGTTTTTTGCAAACTTTTAGGGGGTTTTCTGTAAACTTTTAGGGGGTTTTTTGTAAATTTTAGGGGGTTTTCTGTAAACTTTCAGAGGGTTTTCTGTAAACTTTCAGGGGGTTTTTTGCAAACTTTTAGGGGGTTTCAGTAAACTTTCAGGGGGTTTTTTGTAAACTTTTAAGGGGGTTTCTACAAACTTTCAGGGGTTTTATGTAAACTTTCAGGGGGTTTTTTGTAAACTTTCAGGGTGTTTTCTGTAAACTTTTAGGGGGTTTTCTGCAAACTTTTAGGAGATTTTCTACAAACTTTTAGGGGGTTTTCTATAAATATTTCTTTCTCAATTGAATCGACTACTTCAGAAAATTAGGACAGAATTGTGAGGAAAAGAAGCAAATGATGACGGGGCTGAGCAAAAGAAGAGATGGACTCGTAACAAGTCTAGTTTACTACCTGCTCGGTTATTTAAAAAAAGCCCTTACTTTGGTCATGTGACAAATTACACTTGGCCGCATACGCATATATCTCCTGCCGACGAAGAATTATGAGCGCCTACTTTTTATATTTATATATCATTGAGGGTGTTTTTTGTAATTTTTAAAAGTTTGAGGGTGTTACTTGCAAATTTGATATTTATAGGGGACTACCGAAATTTTTTAGATTTCATGTGTCATTTGCAAGTTTAGAAAATTCTAAGATTGTTTTGTAGTTTTGAATTCTTGAGGGTGTTTTTTGCAATTTTTAAACTTTAAGAGTGCTTTTTGTAAATTATAAATTTACAGGGGGTTGCTAGTAATTTTTGGATTTCATGTGTCATTTGTAGGTTTTGAAATTTCAGGATGGTTTTGTAATTCTAAACTATGCAGGGTGTTTTTCTAAAAATTTAAAACTTTGAGGGTGTTAATTGTAAATTTTAAATTTATAGGTGACTATTGAAATTTTTTAGATTTCATATGTCATTTGCAAGTTTAGAAAACTCTAAGATTGTTTAGTAATTTTGAAGTCTTGAGGGTGTTTTTCTCATTTTCTACAACTTTTAAGGGTGTTTTTGCAAATTATAAAATTTCAGGGGGCTGTTGGTAATTTTTGAATTTCATGTGTCATCTGTGAGGTTAGAAAATTTTGATAGTTTTTTTATAATTTTTAACTCTTGAGGGCGTTTTTATAATATTTTAAACTTTGATGGTGTTTTTTACAAATCTTAAAATTTTAAGGGGTTGTTAGTCATTTTAAGTGTTTTCTATAATTTTTAACTTTTGAAAATAAGTTTTGTAATTGTTTAAGCGTTGATGGTGTTTTTAAAACAATATCCATCTAAACGGGTAAATGGGTGGGTAATAACCCACCCATTAATGACCCATTTATCTTTAATAGAAACTATACCCACCCATTTATGGCCCATTTATGACCCATTTAACTAAATGGGTGGGTTTGGATGGTTCATTTAGCGGGTGGGTATGGGTGGGCAATTGGTTTTGGGTTCATTTTGCCATCCCTATCTCAGCCTTTGCTTGGGGCAAAAAAAAAAAAAAAATTGTTGAGACCAATCTTGGTTCCGTGAGTCGTATCCAGGACCAACACTCCTCGCAGTCCAGGCGACCGTTTCTCCCCCACCCATCGACCCATAAATGATTGTTTTCGTGTCCTCTTTTGATTCCCTGAACCATCGCGGCTGTTCTAAGATCCCTCGCAGCGGATCCGTCGACTCTCCTCCAGGTAACATTGTTGTTGGCCGCTACCGTAACCAATAATAATCCAGCTTGTGGCCCACAAGCTCCGCGTTCAACGGTCAGTATTTCTCGAACGCAAACTGGCGATGATCAAGCAGCCGCGTGGGGCCCGCGGAGATAAAGTTACAATATTGTTACAGGCAAATCAACGGCGCTAATGTTTTTTAGGTTTTTTAAAATTGGAGCGGGTGGGCATGTAATAATCATTAGAGAGCTTAATTAATTACGATTATAACGTTTAAAATAGCAGCTAACAACAAGTGAGGAGTCATAATCGGTCAGACTGCAAAGCGCACCTGATAACAAAAAAAATTCGACCACCCGCAAAAATAATCTACCGGAAGAGAGCTAGCTGTTCATGTACACGGGATCTATAGAGCAGTGTTGCGCTGATGAAATATTAAACAAATAGAATGAGTTCAAATTAAAATGTTTAGATTCAATACCTGCATCTATATAAGTCGATCCGAAACAAAGTATTTGATAGAAGTCAATTCAAAATATTTTAATTCGTCCAATATTTTACAAACGAGTCGATCGATTAATGGGGTCCAGTATTCGCGGATAGCAACCTCAGAAAAGATGCGTGTGAAAGTAAATTGGAATTCAACTTTTCTTCGTTTTGTGTGTGTATGTTAGAAATATGCGTATGCTTGGAACCAAGCATAAATTTTGTGCTTGTTAGTGAGGTGACACAATCCCCTCCACTCATTCATTTGAACAAATAGAAGAGATTATGACACCTCATTACCAAGCGTAACTTTTTGTACTTGTATCAAGCATACCCATTTCTATATATATATGTATGCATCAAATCGAGTTAAAACTAGTATATATATGATATTTTTCTCAAAAATAGAATCATCATATGATCATTTTACTAAAAATAAGAGGGGTCCAAATTCAAAGAACCGTGACCCCATCATAGACTTTCCATGTAAAAATATTTTGATCCGAATATTCCGGACCCAAACGTCGATACCGACAAACAATTTGACTTGCAGCGGATCGGATCTACAAGCGATCAGAAACGAATCCAGCCCGTTTCACTACACAGCTGCAGGCAACCTCGCAATTACAAAGGACCGCCTCCTCCATCTCTCTCATTTCGTTATTATTATTATTATTATTTTCTCCTCCTCTTCCCTCTCTCGAACCAACCGAGAAAAGCCCTAATTAGGGCTTTCACCAAATCCCCAACTATAAAAATTATAAATACCAACCCCCCCAGGAAAAAAAAAAATCCCCAAATCAAATCTCAAATCAGAATCAACCCAATTTCGCCAGCCGCCTCCGCTTCGAGATCCGAGCGCGAAAGCGCTCCGTCCCTCCTCCATCAATGGCGGCGGCGGACATCCCAAACCCTAACCCTAACAGCCGCCCCTCCTCCTCCGTCGCGAAGCGGTCCTCCTCCGATTCCGGCACGCTCCTGTTGGGTCGCTACGAGCTCGGCAAGCTCCTCGGCCACGGCACCTTCGCCAAGGTGTACCACGCTCGGAACCCTCTCACCAACGAATCCTTCGCCATCAAAGTCCTCGACAAGGAGAAGATCCTCAAGTCCGGCCTCGTCGCCCACATCAAGCGCGAGATCTCCATCCTCCGCCGCGTTCGGCACCCGAACATCGTCCAGCTCTTCGAGGTCATGGCCACGAAAACCAAGATCTATTTCGTCATGGAGTTCGTCCGAGGCGGCGAGCTCTTTCGCAAGGTCGCCAAGGGGCGCCTCAAGGAGGACACGGCCCGAAAGTACTTTCAGCAGCTGATCTCCGCTGTTCAATTTTGCCACGCCCGGGGGGTCTATCATCGAGACCTTAAGCCCGAGAACCTCCTCCTTGACGATAACGGCGATCTCAAGGTTTCTGATTTCGGGCTCAGCGCGGTTTCTGATCAAATTAGACAGGACGGCCTGTTCCATACTTTCTGTGGGACCCCGGCGTATGTTGCTCCCGAGGTCCTTGGGAGAAAAGGATATGATGGAGCTAAGGTGGATATTTGGTCTTGTGGGATTATTTTGTTTGTTTTGATGGCAGGTTATCTGCCGTTCCATGATCAGAATGTCATGGCCATGTATCGGAAAATCTACAAGGGGGAGTTCCGATGCCCGAGGTGGTTCTCGCCGGACTTGACGAGGCTTTTGACCCGGCTCCTGGATACAAACCCCAGGACGAGGATCACCATTCCTGAAATCATGGAGAACAAGTGGTTTAAAAAGGATTTCAAGCACATTAAATTCTATATCGAGGATGATCGGTTTCACAGGTTCGATGATTTTGATCTTCAATCGCCGGAGGAGCAGCAGGAGCAGCGGCGGCAGCAAGCCTGAGCCCGAAGCGGGGCAGGAGTCCGATGGATCAGAATCGGGGAACGAGTCTGATTCGTCGGTGGCTTCTTGCCCTGCAACGCTTTCTGTTGGGAGGAAGAAAGGATTGGGGAATTTGCCGAGGCCATTGAGCTTGAATGCTTTCGATATCATTTCGTTCTCGAGGGGGTTTGACCTTTCTGGGTTGTTTGATGAGAAAGGAGAAGAGACTAGGTTCATTTCTGGGGAACCTGTTTCGACGATTATATCAAAACTGGAGGAGATTGCGAAAGTGGTGAGCTTTACGGTGAGGAAGAAAGACTGTAGAGTGAGCTTGGAGGGGACGAGGGAAGGCGAAAAGGGGCCATTGACAATCGGTGCAGAGATCTTCGAGCTCACACCCTCGCTGATGGTGGTCGAAGTTAAGAAGAAGGCAGGGGACAAAGGAGAGTACGAGGAGTTCTGCGATAGGGAGCTGAAGCCTGGGCTGAGGAATCTCATGTACCCGGCTGCTGTTCCTGCCAACATAGCTTCTGATACAGAGTAGAATGAGGTAAAAGTTGCTCCTTTTTGGTACCATAACGTGTATTCAGGTGTTTTATGGTCTTTACCGTTCTTCTTTGTATAATATCGTTCTTTATTTCCAGATTCCACCTGTATTAGGATTGTAAAAAAAGGGTGATGTTCTTGTATCAGCGGCAAATAGATGTTTAAATGCTATGATGCTCAATGGAATTTGTTCCTTGAATGACAGTTTCTCTCATGATAATTGGTTGTCAATTTCTTCGTTGTCCTGCTGTTCTGAAATTGCTTCTGAACTTTTCGCCCGAGTTGAATTCATGTCCTGCTTTTGTGCACATGGCTGTGTTTGTATGTTATTGATATTGAAGTGAGTTTTTGGAAGCTTGAATCCGAAGTTGGTCATCATTTGCATGAGGCATGTGCCTGATGTTTTGATGATTGATTTCCCTAGTGCAATTATTTGTCTGTTGCTCACATATGATTTGTTCAGGAAATTAGTGGGTTGGCTATTATTTGGATCCATAGTGAGTAGAAGATCGTGATACTTTTGTTACTCTTTTAGTGGAGTCATGTCCTGTGTCTTCTGCTTAAAGCAGCCCTTATTCTTTTGTTATTTGTTATTGGAAGTCTTTGTTTCGGTTGTCTATTTGTCAGTAGAGCACTAATGATTTTATAAAGAGACTATCTGACTAGAAGAATCTTTTGTGTAGAGCTCAATTTTAGCATTTGTTATTGATCACTATATTTTCTGTCTTTTGAGAGAGCATTATTCTCCTTTTGCTGGGACGGTACACACGTGCAATCGGTTCTCTTTAAAATCTCCAAGGAGTGGTACACGGGAATTGGCTTTTTATATGACAAAAAAATAAAATAGAAATGTGGGTGTCTGCAGGGCAGGGTTGTGCGTGTGGTGGTGGGGTGGGGGTGAAGGGGTTGGGTATGTGTGCATACTCTGCACGCCATGGAAGCTACCTCTGTCGATGGAGATAAATTATACACTCCTATTTGATATCGACGAAGTGGCTCATCATGCATTTGCCTAAGATACTTGCCCCAGACTTCTGATGATTGGCTTTTCTAATGCAGTCCTGTTTAGCATCAGAGCACAGATTTTTTTTTTCTTTGGTTCAAAAATGGCTTCTGAGAGTGTCTAGAAAAATACAGACCATGAAGTTTTTGTTTCTCTTCCATTCTATTACTCCTGGAGAATTTATGACATGTATGTTCTGCTTTAAGGCCATCCTGGTACGTTATTATTTGTTGACTGGAAGTTTGTATGTTTGTTCTGTTACATTATTGTTTGTTAGTCGAATAGTCTTTGCCAAACAGTTTTGTCAAATTATTACTTGTGATTAGCAAAAGAGACGTTCTATGTGGAAGGATCTTATAGTGGGAATTAAATTTTTTTTTTCACATTTTATACGAAAAATTCATTATGCACCTTTTGCTGGGGCAAATTGCACTGCTATCTCATCACCTGGCTCACGCATCAACTTTGCTGTACTTCAGAGAAATATGGATACAGGCACTGTTGTTTAAAATTTGGTCTCAATTAGACTATGTGACAATAGAATGTGTTAGTGTGTGGCCTAGTGTGTGTATGTGTTTGTGTGTGTAGTCTATCACAGTTGTGATATAGAAACCGTGAAATGAATCTCTGTCAAAGCCGTAGACACCCATGCTGAGAATGAAACCTCCATTCTCGCTGTATCCACCACATACCGCATCATTCTTGATGGGGACTGGCACGAGGGCTTCAATATGGAGGTGAGAAATTGTCGACAGCTTGGGGGAATGATGTTGTAATTCATGATGAAAAATAACTGATGTAACTATCCATTCATGAACAGTAACTAGTTTATTGGTTGACATGTAACACTGACGAGACTTTTGGGGTTTGGTTTGGTTTGGTATTTTTTTTCCTGTTTTCCTGTTTTTTTTTTTTGTTATTCTGATTTGGCTAGATGGTGGGGATTCTTTTAGAGGGGAGATGGGAGATGAGTTGCGGTTGACCGAGAAGGATAATCGAAAGAGGATTTTGATAGATACTAGGTTTTACACCTAGGGGCCTCACACTCGCTTCGCACCTTAAAGACATTTTACATGCCAAACAAGCGATTCACATGCGCAAGATTATTAAGAAACAAGCGATTCACATGCGCAAGATTATAACTTAATTTTTCGTTAGTCATCAATGTCTATTCCTCATGGAGGATTATATCTCTTATTTATAGAAAATGAAAGCATCTAAACAATTAAGGAAGCAAATCAAAATACTAATAAAATCAAAACCTAACAGAACTAAAAGATGCAATCAAATAAATTCCTAACTTAAGTAGGAGGAGATCTCAAAATCAAGTCCTACATAAATTTTAACTAAAAAGAAGATTACATAGAATAAAATAAAATCCTACCAAAATAGAAAAATAATCTAATAAATCATAATCGCATCACATTGAGGGTTTGTGGTCGTCCTGCATCAATTCTCATCTCAGGATTATAGCATCCCATTCAAATATCATTTTTATACATCTCTGGCGGCCCAAAACGCCATTTTTTATCAAAAGAAGGAGCCAAGAAAAAAACTTCGCATGTACCTACTTTCCCCCC